AAATTCTTTCACGTATAAAGAATTAAAGATGTACATATATGCAAAGAACAATGAATGGAAAACATATTTCACTCGTTTCATTATCTCAATCTCCTATTATTTTTCGAGGGCATCGATTTTAAACACAATTCCACGCCAGACGCAGCGCGATTCTAGCTCGCTTCATCAGAATTGTTGTCTCTACCGTATGAAGGAACGAACGTGAAGCAACTCACGACCTATGGGCCGCCTGCGTGAGAAAATTGAAAAATTTCAATATTTAACCCTCAATTAGCATGCATCTCTACATTTGATACCTAATTGCAGACCTTTGAAAATTGACCACAGGCACACGAATTCTTTGGATCAAGGATTTCTTATATTTTCTCTCATTTCCTATTTACAATATCATCTTCCATTTAATCAAAGCTATGAAAAAAGACTAAACCGCCTCCACCAAAATGAAGACATGGACGCCTTCCTCATCCTCGCTTGTATTGTCGCTGCATGAGTCATGACAGACCTCGCCTCCTTGAATGTCACGTGGCCAGCCGCCCACCTCCACCGGCCCCCTCCTCCACCACCTCCCTGTCCCGGGCACACGCAAGCCCATGGATCGCGACACCCGATGCCTCCAACCCCTCCCCTGTCTAGCACCCGCCAGTGCCCCTGGTCCAGGCTTGGGTTTGGGCGGCGGAAGCAAGCGCCCCTCCGCCCTCCCATGCGGCCTTGGCTCGGTCGGGGAGATGCGGTGAGGAGGCACATAAATCGAGGGATGAGGTGAGCATCCAAAGTTACTCAAAGAAGTCGCGAGTAGTTTAGCCTTTTCTCGTGTCTTGAGGAGTGAGAAGAGACAATTGAAATAGAAAAAGAGAGAAAATGAGAAAATCTCTTATAAAAAAATCGTATCGAGAGTCAAATTTTAAATGCTCGCGAATTGAGTGTCAAATGTAGAGAGATGTACGAAACTAAGGTTTAAATATCAAAATTTCTCGAGAAAATCTGGTGGAATGTGGGAACGCAGTTACAAAATTGCCCCCCCATGAAAGCAATACCCGCATCAATGCCATCCAATATATACCCGGTCTTAGGGTTTGGCCCCTCCCGACTCCCTCGGCTGCCTTCGCGATCGCCGCCGCCGCCGGCCCCTTGAACGCGTCGGCCTCTTCTTCATTGACTTTGGCCCATTCGTCGGTGGGCCCTCCACATGCGATCTTGGGCGCAATCCCTCGAGGACAGGCACGACGGCGCGTGGTCCCGACTATGTCGGCAGCTAGCCGCCCTCCGCCTCCGGCCCCTCTCCTGTGCCCCGATTGAGTCGTTGTCGCGAATCGCTAACTTCACCCCATGCATGAGCTCACCACAGCCCTCCGGAAGGTATCGATCCGAATTAATATTAATGGCCCTGTTTGCTTGTCTTTTCAACTTTTTTTTCAGCCAGAACAGTGTTTTTCTCTCACAACAAATCAGCCGGAACAATGTTTCGGCTTGTTTTTTCAGCGAAGCGAACGGGGTGAATATTGTTCCTCTCTTGGTGCTACTGAATTTGCATGCAAAAAGGTCAAGCTTTTAGAGTGGATTTGGGTTCTAGAATTTGGTTAGGGGTGGATTTGGGTTAAAGTCAGGTGTAGGTCAGATTTGAGTGTTCCATAGTTCGATTGGACGGAGATCGTTGCGTGGTGTTCAGTTTGGTGATTAGAGAGCAAGTTTAATTGGGTGATAAGGAGGTGGGGGGACTGATTTTATTAAGCCAAGGCCCCATAGGTGGGATGATTGAGGAATATTGCCAATTGAAAAGCATACGTGACATGTGACTGTAGGGTTTCTCATGTAAAGTTGAGTTTTCTAAGCAGTTTACCCATTTGCTGTAATGTTTTGTGGATGAACTGGTTCAGTTGTAGCCAGTTGCTCTTCATGGCCCTAGGCGTGGCCCAAATAACCCTTTAGAGTAATGTAGTTTTTCAGCCTGGCCCTAGGTGTTGGGCCAAGTGTTTGGACTCATGGCCCAGCACAGAGAGGAAAGGGGCACGCGGCCGCGAGTCGCGAGCGTCGCAGGCGCCCGTCCGAGGTCCAACTCCCCTCCCTGTTTCTGCTTCTCTGTCGCTGCTGCCCGCTGCTAACCCTAGCCGCCGCCGGCCGCCGTCGACCCGTCCTCCGCCTGCCGGCCGCCGCCGACTGCCACACCATAGACGCCCGCCCAGTGCCCGGCGTCCTGATGGCCGCCGCCTGCCGCGGACACGCGGTGACAGGCTGACGGCGTGCGTGACGCCGTGCACTGCTGCCTGCTCCGCGCCTGCGCTCTACAACCGTCTGCGGTCTGTCGCCCAGCCCTGGCGCCCGCCTGGACCCGCCCGGCTGCGCGCCTGCGCGCCACAGCGTGACACCATCGCCAACTGCAGACTGCAGTCAGCCAGTCACAAACTCACGGTTCTCATTCCAAGCTTGGTAATTCCCCATTCTCACGTCTAAGTTCTGCCTTAATTTGATGTTGAACTCTTCCTGATCTAGTATGGATTCCATGAATGAACATTATAATTGATTATATCAATTTTTGTAGCACGTAGAGTTGCACAATGTAGAGCGGGACATTAAAATTCTTTTTTACCTCCTGCTCCTACGCCAATTATACAACCAGCATCACAAACCCAGCCATCAAAATTGAAGTGCGGCTGGTATATACGCTTCATAGTGGCCCTATACATCGAAATTGAAGAGCTCCATATGAACCTAACATTTCGAAAAACAAGCATCACATGCCAGCTCCTAATGAACTGAGACAACTTGCTAATTGGTGAATTTGAATGAGTCTGTTAATGCTGTATTCCTATTTTTGTCCAGTGCTCGATGGCTTATATGGGTTAGGCTTAGAGCTGCCATTTTTTTTTGTCTGAACCACCTTTATGAGAGCTACTGATAAAATTTTTGAGAGATGGTCAACTGGAATATATCATCTTAATGAATGTTTGAGTAACTACATGAACCTTTGTTATATTGCTCAATGACTGTGGCACGCCTCATTTTCATGCAAGTTTAAAACTTTATATGAGGGAGATGTTGGAAAATGGATTAAAAGGGAATTGTAACAATAGCTCAAACTGCTTTTTAGTGACACATATACAGCAAAAAAGCAATTTAGGCATTTACATGTTAACATGCTATCTTGACAATCCAACAAATCATCTACAGAATAAGGTTCCATTCATGTTTGTAATCATTGAAAGTACTTTTTTTCTTTTTTTCGGGTTCGGGCTAATTGCTACTCATGTTGCTATGTCATTACATATAGCAAGTGGAATAGAAGTCAAATCAGGGGGCATTATGTCAGTATATTGTTTACATGAATGGAATTTTAAATATGATTTTGGCTGGGTTGCATTATGTAGTATGGTCCTGTTTGAAACTGCTTTTGGAGCAGCTTTTCACCAAAAAAGAGAAACAGTGGAGCAACCAAATAGAAGTCAAATCAGGGGGGCCTGTTCGCTTGTCTTATAATCCGTACTTTTCGGCTTTTCTTTTCAGCTGGAACAGTGTTTTTCTCTCACACCAAATCAGCCGGAACAGTGTTTCATCTTGTTTTTTCAGCGAAGCGAACGGGCAAAGCGCTTCCCGCAAAACAACTGTGAGCCAGTTTCCTTGTTAAGCAGCCTGTGAGGAGCTTATCTCAGCCTTCTCTCGCCATCCTCGAGCGCCTCCTCACCACGAGTGCCTCCAAGTAGCCTGCCTCCACTGTGACGATTTCCTCCCGCTGAGCGTCCTCTTCGTCTATGAGTGCTGCCCCACCCCGCCGGCTGCCTCCTCATTGATTGCCTCCCCACCGAGCGCCATCCCACCTACGAGCACCTCTGGATCAATGTGTTGCCCTTGATCACCACGTGAGCCACCCCACATCTACGCACACCCTTGGCCTTTGCCTCCCAGTCACCGGTCGGCCGGTTCCACTAAGCAGGAGGAGCCCTGCTGCTTGCTCTCTTCTAGATTGGAAGAAGCTGGAAAAATAAAGCCACACACAAAATGCGCTGCTTTTTAGTTTTTACACAAGAGCTTCTCCAAAAAGAAGCTTTCTATAAGTTTAAGCCATTCAAAACAGGGCCTATATGTATATTTAGTGTTTTATATGTCAGGTTAGCTTGCACATCATTTCATCATATTTGAAACTTATTGAACTGTTAGGGAAGGTGTTTGTCCATGCCTAGGGTTTGTCAGTGTTGTGCCAACGTGATATTATTTTTGCAGCTAGATGGAACTTATTGTCTGATGCATTATGTTAAGCAATATGTTTTTTTCTCGATTCATCAAAAAAAAATGTTTGGTTATTGACACCAGATGAAGATTTTTTTTAAAAAAAACTGTATTTATTTTGGCTTAATATAGATGCATGTTCCATGCCATTTGGTCCAAAACACATGATATGATTGTCATGTTTTAATATTTGGGTGAGATAGTTTAATGCCATTTTTGGGTGAGATAGTTTATATGGATACCATTCAAGTTTTCTTTTGGCAATGTTCTGCCAAGATGATTTTCCTTTTTGCACTTTGCACAGAACTTAACATCTGATACAGTGTCAAGCAACATATTATTTCTTTCTTTATATTACAAATTGTGTGGTTATTGATGTCAGATAAGTTGAAAAAAACATTCCTATTTTGGCTTAGGTGGAATCTATTGCAACCATGTGTGCTGCTTGTTCAGTTGTTCGTCCTTAGCACTTCTTTGTTTCTATTGTATATAGGAAGGCCTTGCAAGGTTTCTTTTTCTTCTTTGTTGATAATTTGATGGATTGCCAAGATACCATGTTAACATGTAATTCCTGGACTACCTTTTGGCTGTTTATGTCACTAGGAAGCAGATTGAGCTATCACTCTAATATAAATCTTATCTTTAGATTTAACTCTACATTTTCATTTCTGAACTGTGGCACCCTACCTGTTATTATTTTTTGGTGACTCATGGGACTATTTCTTTTTACTGTTTCTAAGTTTGTTCTTTTGTTTGAATGTCAGGTGCTATCAACTTGGAAGATGGCAGATGAGGAACAAGCCCCAAGCTCTAGGAAGAGGGTTGCAGGTACCCAAATCAACAAGGATAATCTTGAGCCTGATGATGACGGACCAGAGCAAGAGATGGGTACATTTAAGAAAGCTACTGAGGAAGTTATGGCAATCCGGAGAATTGTAAAGGTTCGGCGTCAGCAGACTTCATCAGCTCCTTCTTCTAATCCTTTCTCTGCAATTAGATTTACCCCCACTGATTCTGGTGCTCAAACAAGTGCCCCTGTCCCAGAGGCCCAACCTTCAGATGTCAAAGCTGATGAGGGAAGTAATGGTAATGGGAAAGATACTTTGTCTGTGCCAGAAAAGAATGCAGGCTCTGGTGTAAATACCGACTCTGGTGCCACAACTGAAGCACCACCTCAACCTGTTGAAACCAGTGACAAGGCAGAAGACACAAAGGATGAATCTGGTGGAGACAAAGTGGTAGTTGGAGAACCCAACGAAGGTAGCTGCATGCCATCTGAAGTTGAGGGCAAAACAAAAGAGGGAGATGCTGAAGAAAAGGAAGGGGCAGATGAAGCTGGAAATAACGATAAAATTAGCAAGGATGATACTGAGAAGAAAGATGGAGGTGAATCAGAGACCAAGGATGGCCTGTCTGATGAGCAGAGAGATGCTGATAAAATTGACAAGGATGATACTGAGAAGAAAGATGGAGGTGAATCAGAACAGAAAGATGCTGATAACAAAGGGCAGACATCATCAGCGACACCCCTTTTCTCGTTTAAGAATCTGTCAAGTGGTCAAAATGCTTTCACAGGTCTGACCGGAACTGGATTTTCAAGCACATCATTCTCGTTTGGCTCAGCCTCTAAAGATGGCTCAAGTGCTGGTCCTTTATTTGGGCTGAAAGCTGATGGTTCTTCGTTCCTTCTTTTAATCTTGGTGCTGCTAACAACGGAGTTCCGTCACAGCGCTTGCTACTTCAGCAGAGGCACCCAAGAAATTTGCTATGACAGAGGGCCCTGTTGAAACCGGTGAAGAAAATGAGAAGGCTGTATTTACTGCTGATTCTGCTTTGTATGAGTACCTAGATGGGGGCTGGAAAGAAAGAGGAAAAGGTGAACTGAAGCTGAACGTCCCTGTATCTGGCGGTGAGAGAGCCCGGCTCGTCATGAGGACAAAAGGCAACTACCGGCTGGTCCTGAATGCAAGCCTCTACAACGACATGTCACTCAAGGACATGGACAAGAAGGGCGTGACGTTTGCCTGCATGAACAGCATTGGGGAGTCACCGAGCAGCCTTGCCACATTTGCTCTGAAGTTCAAGGACACAGCCACCAGGGAGGAATTCAAGGATGCGGTGGAGTCTCACAAGACAAGCAAGGCACCGGACGCGCCGCTGAAGACGCCGGAGAACTCACCGAAGGCAGCAGAAGTCTGAAGCTGCACTCGGGTCACGCTTACTCGTCTTTTGTACGTGTCCAGGAAGGAGCCGAGAGATACTTTCTGTTATTACTGCCGAGTTCTTAAGAATGTCGCGTCATGACATGATGTCCTGAGTTATGTTTGCATACGGTTCCCTGGTGCTGTTTTTGGAACAGTGGGTAGCCTGTCAAACTTTCATTATTACATACAGTTATAATCTTAGAATCCTGGAGATGAGACTCGTTAGATATGTTAGCTCGTCTTGTGCTCCGTTATGTTCTATGTGACGTGTTATAACTAGTTATTATGTCATGAATGAATGTATGCGATTATGCGTGTCCTGGTTATTATATTCCACCGAGGGCTTTTTTTTTTTGACAAACCCTTAGACAAGCTTTATTGAACGAGAATAGTTGCATCATTGAATAATAAATGAACAATAAAACTAGGGGATCATCGTTACATATATAATTTTCTTTTGTAAGCATAGCTTGCTTGGCTAGTTCATGTGCCACTTGGTTTGCTTCTCTGCTTAAGCGCTCAATAGAGATCTCCTGGAAACCACTCCAAACAATGATACACTGTCATATATTGCAGCAGCTGAGTTCGCAAGCAGCTGAGTTCGCAGTAAAACCTCATTTCCCCATAATTTCAATGACCTCCATACAATCGGATTGAATGATCAATCGGTTGCCTCCAATGTGTTGAGCCAACATCAACCCCTCCTTTAGAGCATATGCTTCTGCCATTGGTGCATCCACTAGGTGGGGAATAAAAGTACTTGTCGCTGCAACCATACTTCCCGAGCCATCTCTGATAATTGCACCTGCACTTCCGCATCCCCTATCATAATCATAGGAAGCATCTATGTTTAACATAAGAAACCTTCTAAAAGTTTTCTCCATCCTTATAGTAACTTAGCTCCTTGTTTCGCTGCCATCTTGTAATTCTTTGCTAGAGAAACAATAGCTAATCCTGATCTTGATGGGAGTTGTATATTTTCACCGTGCGTTAACTGCCGCCTTTCCCACCACCACAGTACCACCACCCGTCGTAATAAGTTCGGCCAATCCTAACTCCAGCCATGGACCCGCTCTCCTCTATGGATCACTTCTTCCAACACAATAGACCCTGGCGGCCAACAAGATCCAACGGTATATGATCTTCTCACAAACTCCTATCGAACTCCATAATGCTCTAGCTCGATCACAAGAAAAGATCATATGTTTAATATCTTCTGCCCCGTTATGACACACCAGACGCCCTTCAAAGGTCCTAAATGGCTAGAGGGCGGTGAATAGCCTATAAAAATCTCTACAAATACATTAGAGCAAGTGGTTAGTAACCTAAATGGTGAAATGCAATTTTGCTCTAACTCTACAAGGGTTGCAAGCCACCTATGCCAACAATTCTAGTCGCTATGATCTCTAGATACAATCAAATGCTATGTCACTACTCTCTCAGTTAGTGAGCTCTCAAAAACTAACTAAAAAGCCTTACTAACCAAACTAACAAGCTCTCAAAAACTAACTACACTAAATAGCTTGATTAGGCAAGAATGTAAACAATATAAATACAAGAGAGAGTGTGGGAAGATTATACCGCCATGGCAAGTGAGATGAACCAATCACAATGAATATCTAATTAATCACCGGAAGAATTCCAATAACAATGAACACAAGGTTTTTCTCCTAAGGTTCACGTGCTTGCCGACACGCTAGTCCCACTGTGGTCGACCAACACTTGGTGGTTCAAATGGCTAATAGGTATCACACACCTAGCCAACACTTGGCGCCGCAAGAACCTACCCACAAGTGAGGTAACTCAATGACACGAGCAATCCACTAGAATTACCTTTCGGCTCTCCACCGGGGAAGGTACAAGACCCCTCACAATCATCGGGAGATGGCCACGAACAATCACCAACTCGTGCCAATGCTCCTCCGCTGCTCCAAGCCATCTAGGTGGCGGCAACCACTAAGAGTAACAAGAAATCCATAGCCATAACGATCCCCAAGTGCCACTCGATGCAATCACTCAAACAAATGCACTAGGAATCACTCTCAATCTCACTATGATAATAAATCAATGATGGAGATGAGTGGGAGATGTTTGCTTAGGCTCACAAGGATGCCAAGTATATCAAAGTGCCAAGAGAGTGAGCCCCAAGCCGGCCACCACCAATTTAAGAGCCCCTTGGCTCAAAGAGCCATTGGGCTATCCAAGGGGCACCAGACGTACTGACCGGACGTTGCCCTACGTCTGGTCGATTGAGTCCGATCGCATCCCCCGAGCCACTCCACGCCTGCCATGTCGTCTCCATTCAAATAGAGCCGTTGGTGCCTTCGCGCGCGTGTGCCAGCCAAGCATCGGACGCGCCTCTACGTATGACCAAACGCACCACCACACGACGTCGGATCGTTTCCAGTAAGCATCCAAAGAGCATTTTTATTGACCGAACGCGTCCGGTCATAGGTGACCTGATGCGCCCGGCATCTGATCACTACTACGCAAGCACATGGGGGCTACATCAGCGTACGTCAACCAAGACCTGATGCACCCCCTACGAGTTCGGTCGCTCCTCGTCTCCAGTGTCTGATCTCAAACCGAGCCACGTTGTCTCTGCTGCGCGTGACCTGACTCAGCGCCAGAGTCTGGTCCCTGCGTCCGATCATGCCACTGAGGCAGATCGAGACCCTACGGTTTAGCACCGGACGCGTCCGGTCATCCTAAGACCAGCATCCGGTCATCACCCTTCGCCTCCTCTTCTTTTTCTAACTCCTCAAACACTTCACCCTTGCTTCCAAGTTGCTAACCACAAAGTGTAGAACTTATGTGCACGTGTGTTAGCATTTTTCCAAGCATTTTATAAGGGTCAATTGTTAGCCCACTAGGTCCCTAATGCGTATGCAAGAATCATGTCACCTAGTGGCACTCGATAACCGCTTGACCAAAGATTTCTCTCTTTATAGTACGGCTATCGATCCTAAATACACTCACACCCTCTATGGTGTCTTGAGTGCCAAAACAAAAAACTTATTTGATACCTTTGCCTTGATCTTCTTGGTTTTTCTTTTTCTCTTTCTTCTTTTTCAAGTTGGAGCTTGATCACCATCATCTCATGTCCATCTTCATCTCCATGGACCTCTCATTGCTCCATCACTTGACATGTACCAACCTTGCTCAATTCAATACTCATGACAAAGGTTAGTACCTAGGTTTCATTAATTATCCAAAACCAAACTAGGGCTTTTAACCCTCCATCAGGGATAATATGCCTATTTGCCAATATTGATTTGCACTGCAACCAAAAAAAAATATTTTCCCCGGCACTTGGAGTTTCCATAAATTTCTCCACACCTAACGATTGCTAGTCCCATTGCCCTGTACAACAGCTTGTCTAGCTCCAAATTTGTTCTTCCATTGGCCACGGTAAACTGATCTCACCGAAAGCAACCCATTTCTATTATAATGCCAAGCAGCACAATCTTCTCTCCCTAGGGTAAGTGGTATCTGTAAGATACAATTAGCATCAACACGCTCAAAAATAGATCGCACCAGATCAACATCCCATGTTATGTCCACGGGATTGATTAATTCATCCACTGTGCTTACTATGTTATTGCCTCTCTGTGTCTGAACTTTCACGTTGTGACTACCTGGGATCCAATTATCCTCCTAGATTTTGATCTGTGTGTCATTACCAACCCGCCATATGCACCCAAGTTTGAAACAGTCAAGCCCTGCTAAAACACTTTGCCAAGTATAGGAGCTCCCACCTTTGATTCTCGCATTTAGCAATTTTCCATCAGGATAATAGCGAGCTCTCAACACTCTGGCACATAATGAATCTGGTTCACTTAGAAGTCTCCAAACTTGCTTTGCTAACATTGCCAAATTGAAAAGATTGTAAATCTCTGAACCCCATACCTCCTTTTCCTTTTGGCATATAAAGTTTCCACCACTCTTGCCAATGAATCCTCTTATGGTCATTGTCATCACCCCACCAGTATTGCAAAACAGCATTTGTTATTCCTTTGTAAATGTTCTTAGGAATTTTAAACACCATCATCGCATACACTGGAACATCTTGAGCAATAGATTTAATGAGGATCTCCTTTCCTCCCAAACTCAACAGCTTCTCCTTTCACCCATTGATTCTAGAGTTCACCCAATCAATAAGATGGCGGTCGCTACGATCTGCCCCCACCATCGCCGGTAAGCCCAAATATTTGTCGCTGAGAGATTCAGTCATTATATTCAACACTTCACACAGCTCTATCTTCACATTCACTTATGTATTGCTTGAAAAGTATATGCTTGACTTTGCTTCACTGACTTTTTGCCCTGAATTTACACAGTATCTGTTCAAGATATCAATTAAGCAATCTGCATTTTTCTTGATGGCGTGCATTAAAATGAATGAGTCATCTGTGAAAAGCAAATATGAGATAACAGGAGCTTCCTTGCACACCTTGACACCCTCCAATTCCCCTCTCTTTGGTTCCCTTCAACATACAAGATAGTCCTTCAGCGACTAGTAGAAAAAGATATGGGGACAAAGGGTCCCCCTGCCTCAACCCTTGTTGGTGAGATAGTGTCCGTTTCTATAGAATTGAATCATACCCTGTACTTCATTGATTTGACACAATCCATAATAAGATTCACCTATCTCCGGTCAAAACCAAGCTTCATCATATTTTTCTCCAGAAAAAACCCATTCAACTCTATCATATGCTTTATGCATATCAAGCTTTACCGCACACAACCCCGTATTTCCCTTCTTCTTTTTCATTGTATGGATGCATTCATATGCCAATAAAATGTTATCTGTAATCAATCCCCCTGGAATGAATGCACTTTAGTGGTGGCTAATAATTTCAGGTAAAATAAATTTTAGTCTACTCGATAGTAACTTTGAAATTACCTTGTAGACCACATTGCATAAAGAGATTGGTCTGAACTGAGCAACTTTATCTAGGTTTTCTACCTTTGGAATCATGACTATGGTAGTAT